GCAGCACAGGGAGCTGTTTTGTTAGGTTGCCATTGGGCTACTCTGAGGAGGAATCATGACAGAAAGAGAGAAGCAGTAGAAATTGAAACCCACAGAACCCTATGCAATGCATTCTCGTGCACGTATTTGCTTTGAATACATTGGCAGCACAATTTTCCATATTGGAATTCATAAGATAATGTATACTAGCCTTCACTCTAAATTCTTTAAAAGTAATTGTTCTGAAACTTTGAACTGGTGTTTCTCCTTCCAAATAATGGCTCATTTTAATTCATTATACTAGCCATCTTAGTCTGAAGATAAGTATATTTTTGTAGAAATTTTCTTTTACAAAATGTATATGATGCTAGTAGAAGCACACATCGTTTACATAAATTTCTGGAATAACATCTGGCAATATGAAACCTTTAAAAAGCATTTAAATCTTTTAGTTTTATGAGTCTGAGTATGCTGCTACATTGTCACAAGTATAAATAATTACCTTGAAAAACATCTCCACTTTGGGTGGGTAAAACTTATAACCTTCCTTGACTCCAGGGTTTCTTTTGAGAAAAGAACCAGTTGCTATTCTTCTACAGACCCACTCAATGGGAATCATTTCACACTGGGGGGCAATGAAAGCCGTTTCCCCCCATGTCTTGGTGAAAGCAGTTTTGATACCTACATATCATGGGAAAAGTAGAAGAAATCACTACAATTTCATTTAAAAGGGTACATCTTAAGCCTAATCTTTATAAAAAATACAAATTCATGAAGCCAAATGTACCAACCCTAAGTGATGCTATCAAATATAAAGTTTGATTTTTAATACATGGAAGTAGAAAAACAAAATTCTTAACGTTTTCTACTGCCTATCAAAGTTATTAAAGAGTTTTTCAGTTTAACGTTGCCTAGCAAAATATGATGGATACCACCCCCAAAAAATACCCCCAAACCAGACTTGCGATGGAATTTCCCCACAAGTTTTGAAGCTCTTGTGTAATAAATACGTTCTATATTACATTAGAATATTTTCTCAAAAACAAACAAACCAACAAAAAACCCAAAGAGACCAGAATTGCTATGGGCGGAGCAGACCTTTTTAGTATGCTTTTTTCCCACTAGGGGAGCATCCAGCAATTTGCTGAGTTAGTGCACTAAGTGGTGACACCTACTAAGGTTCTCTGGCCACAGTGAATTTTTTCCTGTAAGCAGTTTTAAACTTTTTGGCCTCTTTTTTGTGTGTGTGATGGCTAATTGAAGACAGCAGCGTGTGGCTGTGAAATTTTGTTTCCTGCTAGGGAAAATTGCTGCAGAAACCGTTGTGATGCTGAACACAGCTTACAAGGATAGTGCTATGAGAAAAACTCAAGTGTACGAGTGGTTTTCTCATTTCAAAAAGGTTAAATACACATCGATGACAAACCTCCTTCTGTATGTCCATCAACTTCCTGACCAAACGAACAAAAATGTCTATTCGTAGTGCATCTGGAGTTCGTTCCAGCAGGTCAGACTGGTAATCAAGCTTTCTATTTAGAGTTTCTGGAAAAGTTGCATAACAGTGTGCGACAAAAAACACCTGAGTTGTGGCAGATGGTGGAATGGTTTTGCCACCACAACAATGCATCTGCTCATGCAGCCATCTCAGTGTGCTAGTTTTTGGCAAAAAACAGCATGCCTCTCTTGCTCCACGCAACTTACCTGACCTCGATTCCTGCGACTTCCTTTTGTTTAAGCGAATGAAAAGGGACATGAAAGGGCAGCAATTTGACAATGAAGAAGAGGTGAAGAAAAAACCGAGGGAGGTGCTGTCAGCCATCCAAACAGGTAAGTTTGAAAAACTGTTTCCAAGAATGGAACTGCAGATTTGACGAATGTAATAAGTGTAATGGAGAGTACTTTGA